TTACTTTTTAATAAAAATTTATATAAATATATTATATATATGTACCTTCAACCTTCTTTTTGTGTCTTTTCAAAACATCACAACACTTATCATTCTGTAGTAGAAATATCGGTCCTAAAACCTGCTCATGATGATAACAAATAGTCTTTATCTCTTCGTATGATGTAGTCTCAAGCAAGCCAGCCAGACCTCCAAGTATAAGGGATAAAAGTCCATTTCTAGAATACAAAAATCTTTTAATCCTTGTTTTCGCACAAAACATTTTTTATGACATTCATCATTTAAAAGTTTTCCAAAGTCACAAGATTCCATATACTATTATTTATTATCCTAAAAAAGATGCAAGAAAAATGTATAATTCATTCAATGTGTTCATGGGGTCAAGGTTGTTCGGGATTAGAAAATTTTACATCATCAATGAGTATTCTAGTTTTAATTTTCTTATTTAAATTTTCTATTCTCATTGAGACGAAACGTTTTGAAAATAGTAAACATTCCATTCTATCTGTAATATTATTGAATAATCTTTTATATATTTTATATTGATTATATTTTTAATAAATATATAATATACTTATATTAATATAATATATATTAGTGTATGTATATATATATATATATATATATATATATATATATATATATATATATATATATATATATATATATATATATATATATATATATACAAATATAATATATAAATAACATTTATACTGACGTATATTTTGAAAAATGCAATGTGAAACTACTGATGTAATATTTTTTCTTTTGTTGTTTGTGATCACGCTTCCTTTTAAGTTGCGTTTAGCTTTTTTAATATAAGCTTAAGTTCAGGGTTGGACTGGCATTTAGGGGCCACGGGAGAAGACAGATGCAGTGTCGCCTTATATATAAAAATTTCCCTATACTACGTATCAATGACTTTTTTTTTCAGGGACCTTTTTTATGGGCCCATGAGATAAACATACTGAAAACCCCAAAGGGGGTTCCCCCAAACATATTGGGGGAACCCCCTTCGCCAGTCCGAGCCTGCTTAAGTGATTCGAAGATACCAGTGAAAGTATTTAGTTAATTAACTTGTATTTTGCAACAAATATTTGATATTCTAATGTTTTGATATTTTTAATTTATAAATAATAGTCATTTAATTTGGTCAATTAATAGAAAGTGATTGAACCTGTACCAATTCAAAGCTTTAAGTGAAGTTTTAGTTTGGTAAACATTTTTAATATATTTGTAAATCATAGATGAGTTTTTTCCGGTAATTTCAGAAATTCCTGTAATTTTCCAGAAGCTTCTGAATGTTTTTTGTTATCAATTTAATAAAATTTATATATTTTTCATAAAATTTTAAATACGACAATTTTTGCATATAAACAAAAAATTGATCTCATGAAAATTTTAATTCTATAATTAAAATTTTCATGAGATCAATTTTTGTAACAATTTTTTTCTTCTTTTGTTTTTTTTTTTTGCTATTTAATTCATTCAAATTAACTTTTTCGAATATTAGAAATTGCTTTTTGTAAAAAGTTAAATAATCTAAATTCCGTTTTAAAAGTTTATGAAAGTTTTTGTTGTCTGTTAATATGATCAATTTTAATAAAATAATTTTTGTAGAAAAAAATTTCCAGGATTTTTATAAAGTCAAATACTCATCTATGATAAATATTATGCTAGATATTTATAAATATTAAACAAGATACCTAACTTTTTAACATTTAAGTTTGGAACTTTCATTTAAGTGTTGCAAATTTTATTATTTTATTACATGGACTTTTATGCAATTTTATTACATGGACTTCCATGCAATTCAATTTTATTACATGGACTTTAATGCAAGTAAAAGTTCTAGTTAAGCGAAGTTTTTTGTCAAATGGACCCTTAAAAACTATATGTGTTAGCGAATAATTTGGCTTAACCAGTGTTCGAATAAGCGGATAATTTGATAAAGTTTCGAATTAAAAAAAACACACACACTCAATTTAGATTTTAAATAGAAGAAATAAAACATTTTTATTTTGAACTTATATCGCATAAATTAAATATAAAGTATGTCATGTGTAAATTATAGGTAACTTGTTATTATATATATATATATATATATATATATATATATATATATATATATATATATATATATATATATATATATATATATATATATATATATATATATATATATATATATATATGCTATAGCATATTTAAATAATTGTTACTAGTTTTTTCTACTTTTATAGCATATAATTTTTTCAAAAAAGGAAGAAAAAGAAATTGAGAATGATGTCCTTGGAAATATTTCTGATCCTTAAACTGTCAGTTTATTAAAAACTGTGAACACTGTTTTAGTAAAAGGCTCAATTAATCATATTGCAAGAACTAATTAAAAAAAACAAAAAAAAAACAAACAATAAATTTACATATGCAAAAATAATAACATTAAAAACTTAAATATTTTAAATTAATTATTGTTTAAACACCACGTAATTAAAATAACAAGTATAAATAAAATAAAAAGTTGTGCAATAATTTTTTTAAAATTTGTGCATTAATTTAAAAATCAACTAATAAAAAAAAATTACACTAAAGCAATTTGTGTATTGTATGAAACATTAAAATCGATTTTTGTTTAGAAGGAAACTTTGCTGAACTATTTAATAATTTATTTGTTTTAGAATAAAAATTAATTATAAATATAGTAATAAAAAGATATATTTTAAAATAATTATAAGGAGTTTAAATTAGTTTTTATATATTTTTCAACTCCTTAGTCTTTAATTTTATATTCATATTTGTGTTAGAGATTTATGAGCATGTAGTTAATGGTATTTGATTTGTAAGAAAATATTGAATGAAATTTATATAAGATATTTATATAAGTATTTTCTTATTCTGTGATTTCTTTTAAATTATTTGATTACTGCTTCCTTTAGACTGTCATGATTTGCGGTTGTTTTTTAATATCACATCGTACTGTATGCTTTATTTTTATAATTTTATTGACGGTTTAATAAATGAATTAAAACATAAAAGTTTAAATCATAATTTTTTAATAATTATAAAAAAATAAAAATAAAATAAAAGGTATGGTTTTAAAATAAGATTTTATATCATAATTTCAAGATCAACAGAATTACATCTATTGAGTTTAGTGATAATTGTTCATGGATTTTAAAAAACATAAAATTTAAAGAGCAGAAGCATTTTGAGGTGTCTCAATTTGAAATAAGTGAAGTAAGGGTAAAGTATTTTTCATAGCAAAAAAAAAAGTTTAAAAACAAACATTCCTGAGACGCAATAGGTGTTTTATTAGTTATTACAGGAAAGCAAGAAAAGTTATGGATTTTAATGAATTCTTGAGGTTCCTCTCAGACACAAAAATTTTGATGGGTCCTAATATTAGTGAAATTTTTTTATTTCAAAATTATGATAAAATAAGTTTTAACCTAAATAATAATGCACCTTTATTAATTTAATTTGTAAATATTAAACTTTTCTCTGCATCTTTTCTCTGATTTTCAAAAATGTATTTTTTGGTATTGAGGTGATCTTATTTCATTATTTATATTTCCATTATATTAACATCCGATATATATTATGGCAGGGGCTTAAAAATTAAAAAATTAATATATATTAATGTTTATTTTACGGACATAGATGGAAACATAATTAACTTAAATGTTCTTAAAACATCTTGCGTCTTGAATGTTCTTAAAACACCTTGCGCAAAAATAAGAATATAAAAAAAAAGAATATTCGCGAATATTCTTTAACCTAATAACCCGCCAAATTTACAAACAAGCTAATTCTATTGGTTCAAAAAATACGCTGACTAAGCGAAATAAAGTTCTAGAGTATTCTGTTAAAATGTTTTAGGAATTGTATTATTTACAATTTGTTGCGTTTTGAGATATCTAGCATAAATTTTTTTAAGAATATATTATTAAATTAACTATTACTTTAATATTATGGCTCATTCTTGGAGCCACATCTGCAAAGCCATAAATCTTTTAAACTATTATCATTTGTTTACAAAAATAAATGTTTTATAATATATATTTTTTAAATAGTCAAAATTTTGAAAGTTAATTACAAATTATATATTTTATTAGTATATTCCTATTTGTTTATATCTTTTCCTAGTGCTTGGTTTAATTAATTGTTTGTTAGATTTGTCGAAACAACTTGCATCAAAATGTAAAGAACACACTTGTGAATCATCGGAGATATTATATAACTTGATTTGGCGCCATAGGGGTCATTAAGTCCACCATCACCGTGGCTCATGTAGCCAGGGCTCTGATAACTACAAAAAAACAAAGTTTTTTTCAATGAGAAAATTTTAGAAAATAAAATAACTAACTATAGTTAGCTATTTTAGTAAAATTTAATAATAAAATTTTTAAAGAATTTCTAGAATGTTTCCAATAACGTCATGTACTAAAACTTCTATGAATTAAACGCACTTGAATAACTTATCAAGTCTGTTTAATGTGCCTGGAAAATTGTGTTTATTTTACAGACTCCAAATACCGCTGAAAATAGAGAAGACAAGCTTCGGCTAAAACAACAAGATTTGTTTTTCTTGGTATACATTAATTAACTAGTTTTAATTAAAAAAAAATTTGCTCAGACGTTTTTTTTTAACATTCTCTTTAATATGAACACAACATGACTCAGGACTTGGTAGTCCCTTTAAGAAGACCAAATTCAAGGCCAAGAACTAGAGTTTCAAGGCTAAGGTCTACGCAAATATTTTTAAGGTCAAAACTTCAATTTTGGCCTAACATTAAGGACAATTATTAACAACTGCAGATAGCAAGTGTTGTGACCAATAAAACCAAATTTTGTAAAATTATATCAAGGCTATGCGCAGAATTTTATGAAATCAGTTAGAAAATCTATTTATAGATAATATGAAACCCAAAAACAAAACAACATAAAAATATAAAAAATTTTAATTCCTTATTTTTATGTTGTTTTTTTTGTGCTAAATGCTAGCAACTTATATTAACATCATATAACACTGGTCAACAAAATGGAACTTTTTGTTCTCATCATGAATAAAAATATTTTTTTCTTGATAAACTTTTCACTCTGATTCCAAATATCTATTTAGTTTTTCTCTATCACGTACACATTTTGAGATAAGGGTCCCTCTTATTTTGCAAATCTCAGGGAAATTGAGACATTTGCCTTAAATTGTGTTGTGTGAATTTGCATCTGCTACCCAATTACTATCTTAGATACGTACAATTGTCAATAATTTAAGTCAGTATTAACATATACAATGTTTTATTCACTACAATTATCACAACATTTGCTCAAAATCGCCGTGAATATGACTTTCTTTTAAAGACTTTGTCTGGGTTGTCATGATAAAGCATCCAGCAGTAATCACCCATCATGCTTTCATTCCAAAACCCTTGATAGTGATTTTCCATCAGTTGAATATCTTGATGAAATCGTTCACCTTGTTCATCACTCACTGCACCCAGATTTTCAGGAAAAAATTTCAGATGTGAATGTAAAAAGTGCAACTTCAAAGACATGCGACATTCCATTTTTTGATATGAATCGAGCAGCTCTTGAATGCCTGCTTCATATTCAGGTGACTTGTGGTTACCAAGAAAGTTAGCACAAACCCAAGTAAAGGCTTGCCAAGCTTCCTTTTCTTCATCTGTGAGAGAATTTTTGAAATTAATATCTCATAAAACCTCTCTAATTTGAGGTCTGACAAAAATTCCTTCTTTCAACTTTGCTGCACTCATTTTTGGAAATTTTTCCACCAAGTATTGAAATCCAGCTGAATTGGATTTTCCCATTGCTTTTACTAAGTTCTTCATCAAGCCAAGTTTGATATGTAGAGGAGGTAAAAAAATCTTTTGTGGATCGACCAAAGGAATATTTTCAACACTATTTTTTCCTGGCTCATACTCATTCCTTTGGTCTCAATCTCGTTTCACGTAATGTTCTGTTACAGCGTGGCTGTCCCACAAACACAAGAAACAGCAGAATTTTGTGAAACCTATTTGCATGCCCATCAGCATGCCAATGACTTTTAGATCACCACAGATATTCCATTGATGAGTTTTGTAGTTGATTGCCTCAAGGAGAATTTTCATGTTTTCATGCTTCTCACTCAGATGAACAGAATGAGCAATTGGTATGCAAGGCTTTTGATTTCCCTTATGCAACAACACAGCTTTCAAGCTTCGCTTTGACGAATCGATGAACAAACGCCATTCAGAAGGTTCATGCGGCTGTGATAAACTTTCAAACAGTCCACTAATGTCATTGCAATAGCACGATGGGCCATCAACAGTAAAAAATGTAGCTAATTGAAGATTACGCTTTCGATAGTGGCACACTTAAACGTTTTTATATAACAGTTTATATAACAAAAAAATGTGCAAGCAAATTTTTTTGTTTAAGTCGTGACCCCAAAAGTTCTGCTTTTTCCTTTGATAAGGTTAAGTCTTGGACCAAATCATTTAGTTCTTCTTGAGTGAATACTTCTGGCGTTTTTTCGACATCAAGTGAATAGTCAAGATCAGCAGTATCTTGATGTTCATCACAAGAGTCCACTTCCATCTTATCTTCGACAGAATCTAATCCATCTATTGGAGGCATTGGAACTGGTAATGAGGGGTCATGTGGAACTGGCCTCATTGCCGAATCCAAATATGGATAAACGATTTTGTGCCTATTTTTCGATGAAAATCCAGTTGTATTAAAAAATGGAAAAATAACAACCAGTTACATGATCCTTTGGCTCCCTCCACACCATGGGTATGGCAAATGAAAATGCAGTTTTCCGTTTGTGAAGCCAGTCACGCAATCCACTAGAACAGCTTGTGCAAATAATATGTGGAGCCCATGTTTTTTCTTGATCACCTAACAGACATCCAAAGTACAGTTTGTAGATTTTTGACAAGTTCGCTGTAATTTTACGCCGTTGACCAGACACTGTAAATAAGCCGCATACATAACAAAAGGTGTCAGGCTGATTCTTGCATTTTCTTGGTATCTTGATAATTTATTTTATAAAGATTAAATCAAACCTGAAATAAGGAATAATATCATTAGTAATTGCCACTAATCTCAAAACATAAGGCATGTCATCTCAAAAATTCGCAATTTTTAAAACTATTTTGTTTATAAAACTTTTTTTTTCTATAATTTTTTTTTTTTTTTTTTTTTTTTTTGGGTAAAAGGCTTTTGAATCTAAGGTGTTAAATTGTTTTTAGTAGATGTCAAAGTGGCTTCTGGGGTTGTTCTTGAGTAAACTTTTTATGGTTTAGCAACTAAATTATCAAAAAAGGATAATTAAACTATTACAGGTTATAAATATATTGGTTAAAAGTTGGATTTTATAATTATAATTGTTTTAAAAAACTCTATAAAAAATGCATTACTAGTAACTTTTATGAAAGATTTAAATAAAATTTATATAAATGAGTAAAAAAAATACTGTATAATTTAACTACTTTAATTCATAAAACCTTTTAAATTTTGTTTTTAATTTAAAGAAAAATCACTTTTAAATCTTTTTTAAATTTTGAAATGTTTAAACTAATAAAAAATGTTATTCAGTCATGTAACTTAAAGTATAGACGTAATAAATTCCTGTCAAACAATCATGTCTTTGATTATTGTTTTAAAATGGCCAGTCAAAAATGGCAATTTAAACCATGACAAACACATAATGCTCTAAAGCTTTCAAATAAAGAAAAAATAACTCTTGAAATATAAATCAATGGAAGTAAAATTTTTAAAAGGCCAACACAAATGAAAGTTCTGAATTTAATAAGAAGGTGGAAGGCTTAGGCTAAAATATTCAAAGCCTATGTCAAAATGTTCAAGGACAAGGTAAACAGTTTCAAGACCAAGGACTAACAACTCTGTAAAATATATATGCAGTAGTGGTGTAGTGGTAAAACACTCGCTTCATAAGCGAGAGGTTTTGAGTTCGATCCCTACCACACCACTGGTAGTACTGCGCTCAACTTGTGTCTCGCGGAGCGGCCTTGTTCGTCAAGGTTCGTGTTTCAGAGTTATAGAGTTGAGAGAGGGTTATAACCACTATTAAGTAGCCTCCTCGTCTGTAGTGGCCTTCTCGGCCTTGAGGAGGTGAATAACAAAAAAAAAAAAAACTCTTTTTCCACATGGTTTGCAATTTTAGGTACATATTAAAAAAGGTCCTATAGAAAAAAAGTCAAGGAGCCCCTGGCTGACTACTTTTCCCTCTGATGAATTTAACTCAGGTTTAGTTATGAAGCGTTATGCAGTACACATTTTACTAGGAAGTGGCGATTTCATCTATATGCTCAGCAATTTACATTAAACAAAAACTTAAATCATTATTGTAAAAAAATGTTAACCACATTTTAAATTTAATTTAGTTTTTTGATTTATAAAAAGAGACAGTTTAATAAGTTTTCTTTCTAATAAAAGATCTCAAAATTATTTATGCTTTTAAAAATTAAAATTTTAAATTTAACTCTAAAGAAATGTAAAATTGTTTTGCAATATTTTTTAAAGTAATAATTATTTACTTTTTATTTATTTGCCAACTAATTTGTTACACAAAGACATTAAGATTTTACCTAATTCTCAATCGTTGATTTTATTATGTGAAAGAAACCATGAAACATTATTTGCTTTAATAAAGAAGTGTTTTTGTTTTAATGAATTTTTTTCACAAATTGACTTGAATATTTTTCTTTTGTATTCAAAATCTTTTTAAGTTCGTACAACATAAGATTTTTTATGGACACAAAATACGGTTTAATTAATATGGTTTATTTAATACATAAAAACAACAAAAAAACTAAATTGTGATAATGGGTCGTCTTTAAATCACGTCACGCAATTTTCGACCGTTTTGTAATTTACTTTACTCGACACAAAATCGTAACACTAATTCCCTAATAGCGTGACGTAATTTATGGACGACCCCTAAAATAAACATAAAGTTATTATGTTATGTATATAATATTTTAAGAAATATATAATCTTTTTTAAATAATGAATTTAGATTTCATTAGTAATTTTTGTTACAGTAATTCCTTAAAAGATCTCATCTCAGTATAAAATATGCTAACGACCCAATTTAGTTTTTAACAATATAAAAATTCTTTAAATTCATGGAAATAAATCTCCATAGTTATATAAAAAATATAAGTAAGCAATGTTAATAAAGTTTACACTATAATTATAGTTATTAAATGTAATGCATGGGTTAAAAAAAATGATAATACGTGTTTATTTGCTTAAATGTTTTACATGTTTTTTTTTGCTATTATTTAGTAATGTTGGACTTACATTGAAATTTATAACTTATAGAGTTTTTCGATTTTTAATGAGGTCACTTCTCATTATCTCCTACACTAGTTTTCGGAGACACATTTTTTGCATGGGCATCTCATCATACACAATTGATTGCAAAGTTAACGTCTGCTAAGGTTGCTTCTCTTTATCTTGCCATTATCTTACTCCTAATTCCTTACTTTAACTCTACAAATCTCTTATTTTTCCCTGTGTGGAATAATGTTGTTATTTGGGTTGTTTCTTCTAATGGTGCTCTTTCTCTTCTAGACATATCCAAAAATGCATTGTAATTGTAGTAAAATAATAAAATTTATTTAATCTGCTTAAACTGCCAAGTTTTGAGCCTCACTCCCATCATCATAAGCATCTGTTTCTTTTTTCTACAAATACTATCGTGGTCACTTAAAAAAGCTATTATCTCTAGTTCCATCAACCAAAACTCATTTTTGGTTGACTTGTCATTTAGCAAAGTAGTAGCATCTTTTTACTGGATCTGTTTCTCTTTTTACTGGATCTGTTTCTTTAAAAAAATTTATATTGATCTAGTTTCTTTGCTTGCACATCAATGCTTTAGAACTCTCTACCATCTTCGTTTTTTCTAATTAAACCAAATTGGTTCATAATTTTATATTTTAAATAAATCAAATCGTTTATCGTTTGTTGATATAAATTAAAAATTAATGTGCTGTGATAATAAAATTAGTGTGGGTAGAAAATTAATAAACGTCCCCTTCTGTGTATTAAGCACCTAAGATTACTATTTTATTCTTGGTTATGGCTGTTATTTTATTACTAAGGAAGTAGATTTTTTTTTTATTTTTCTTTATAAAGCAAATTTTAACTTTTTAGCTTCTGATTTGTCGGAAAAATTAATCTGAATTTTTGTTTAAAGCCAAACGATTTTTTTTTTTAAGTATATGTGTTTTATCAGTTAATCAAGGCATAAGTTATAATCAAGTATTAAAAGCATGTTTCATAATGAAGTATTTATTTTATATTTGCAATTATCAATTAATTTATATGTTTTGGTTTATCTAAATATTTTATAAAGTAATTCAATTCGTTTTAGAAATCTACTCTTAACCCTAATGCTGCTGTTTTTACTATGAATCCAAATGCACAAGAATTTGTCCCAAAAGAAATAAAAGCTTGTGCGTATCCATCGACGCTAGAGCAGGATCATTTATCAGAAGATCATGCAAAAATAGACGCTCCACCGAATAGTTGCGCTAATTATTAATTTATAAAACAAGAATAAAACAATGTTTATTTTCAAACTATTTAATTTCACACTAAAATATAGTTTTTATTTATATTTTTTAAAGGATTTTTTGCTTTAAAAGCATTTTGTATCTTTTAAACTTTAAATGAATTATTTTGTTCGAATCCATATAAAATAACTCCAACTGTTTAGTATTATATGTAACTTAAAAGTGAAATCAAACTTTTTAAACAAACTGTTTAAAAGTACTGAAACATTATATTTGGTCTTCGTATTTAAATTAGAAATTAAAATGGTTTTTTCATTTTAATGATCTGGAATTTATACTATGTTGTAAATATATATATGTATCCATTTTTTTGGAATTATAATTATATATTGCTTTCTTTTCATTTTTTTACAAATCTTTCTTAGTCCGAAACATAAAAAATCGAGAACACTAATGGGAAGTTTTTTTTTCAACTTAATGCTACATAAAATTATCAAAAGGTCAAAGAAAATTCTTTTTTTTTGTTTTTTTTTTTTTTTTTCCATTATCTTGGCACTAAAATTATATATTGCTTTCTTTTCATTTTTCTTATTTAAGTGTTGATAAATAAAGTTATGACTGAAACTTTAAAAACCTCTTATTTCGAGAAAGGTGGAAAATTCCCATATTCATAAATTTATAATCTGCCGGTGAATTTAAATAAAATATATAAGACTGACTACACTTAGCTGCAAACTTGTTGCTATGCAAGAGAGTTGCCAAGAATCCAATCACTGCAATTTTGTGTAAAATAATTTTATTTGACATTAGCTTTAACGGATTCATATTTGAAGTTTTGCACAAGGCTTAGAAATGTTATCTTTTAAATTTTACGTCCGACCCTGACCCACACTTTTTAATCGATTTTCTTACTTTCTTGCCAACAAAACTAATGTACCATTATTTTATTAAATTAAAAAAAAAAAATTACATTTTAAGCTTTTTTTAAATATTTAGCAAAATCTCTAAGTTAATTTAATTTCTCATTAAGATAAACAGAAGTTAATTTAAAAGCAGTAAGCATTCATTTACCTTCTTTAGTTGTTTTTTTGTTTTTTTTTTGGTATAATTTATTTCGCCGTTAAAGAAGGTTTACAGTGCATGTATATATAAAAACTAGTTGCATTGCATTGCATACATGCAATTACATTGCATGTACATATATCAAAGCTAAAAACAAGAAGAAGGCACAGTTTGCCTTATCGCCGAGCCCCACATAAAAAAAAAGACTACATAACCGCAACGCGTTGTGCTTCCTGAATTCACATTTCAAAGTGCATGAAACATGATATATTTCCTTATTTCTAATGAAATTTCTTAGCTTGTTTTTTTATGGATGTAACAATGTAATGCAAACAACATATAATATTTTTGTTCAAGAGTGTACTGCTTTTATTCTACTTAAGGTGGCTCACCCCCATTAAGTCTAACTTTTTGTTTATAAAGGTTCTAAACTTGTTTTTAATTTTTTAATAAAGGACTTTTAAAAAAACTTTAACTTTTCAAAATAAAAATGAAATTTGCATTTTTTGATGCTGAGTCAGCATAATTTGTCCAAGATCTTACCTTATTTAAAACAATAATATCTTGAGTAAAATTTGCACTTATTACACTATATTTTGCCAAATGGTTGCTAAATAATTGCTTTAGGGCAGGAAATAAATTTTTTTTCAAATGTGGAAAAAAACTAAAATGGCAGCAATAAATGTGCAAAAACTAATTAATTGCGAGTGTCAGTCTAACAAACAACATTGCAAAAAATTTATTTATACTTGAAATATTACAATTCTAGTTCCAGCCCTCATAAATAAGTTAATACTCATACTGTGAAAATTTGAAGATAAAAGCTTTAACAAAACTGAAGATATTAACGTTTTTTGTAAGAAAAACGTATAAAAATAAGAAAGTCCTAAAAAACACATTTAAAAATAAAACGATGTAAAAAAGAAAAGTGTTTTTGTGAAAAGTTACTAAAAACTGCGACTAGCATAAACGCTTACATCTTCATTCTCTTTCTCAATGTCTAAATAACCTTTTTTTATAGATTTTAAATGTTTTCTTCGTTTTTTATTAATGTCAGTCGAATTTCGTGACATACTTGATAGTCTATTTTTATCTTTTTTGAAAGCTTTTTCGAAATAAATACCTCCAGTAAACCCGAGTATTTTTAAAATATACGTTAAGGAAGTAAACCCATCATTGTAATTTAAAATAGCAGAATAAACAGCTATTTCAGGAATTTTTCTTGCAGTAAAAGTAGCTTTAGGGCATATCTGTCATATGTATCATATGAAACCATTAAATGACTCATTGCAGTTTTGTGTCATTCCATGTAAACACTTTCTTAGCATTTCAGGGTTTGACAGTTCTTAAAAAAAGGTTTAATTTCCTCCATAATTGTAACAGGTAAGTTAATTTTTTGTCTGTAACTTGTTTTACCTGTAACTTTATTTGATTGCCATTTGCACCAGCTGTTTTTTCCTTTTAAACAAAATTGATGACAAGTAACTTCATATGGAAAATTTGTACAATGGTAAATTACAGCTATTACAGAATTTCTCATACACAGTAGATCATTTTTATTTTGTCTTAGAGCCATTTCAACAAAGTTGTGCATTGTGTTAATAGATTAATTGGTTAATTTTCTTTTTCCGGATGTTTTTAGGCTGTCACTTAACAACCTGCCTTTAAAGTCTTTAACTTTTTGACGCAAACGAGAGCCTACTCTTTTCTGATAATGGCCAATACACTCTAGTTTTTCAATAATACAATCACCATATGGTTTACTTTTAACAACATTAGAAAATGAACTAAATACCGTCTCCACGGTATTTAGTATATCTTAAATTATACTTTTGTATAGACGAATAAAATATTTCTTGAGCTCCAGCAGCTTCCATTGACCCTGCTGAGCTAAAATGATTAACCTGGCAATTGTGTGTAGCTTTCCAACATTCAGAATCAATAGGATTGTTTATTCTTTTATGTACTTCACACTGCAACAAAACTTAGATAACGAAAAAACATCAATCACCTTTTTATTTTCATGTGAAAGAGCAGCAACAACACCATTTAGGGAAGAGTATCCACGACGTTGCCATGTTCCGTCTATTTATATGCCACAGTTAATAATTTCATCATCAGAAGCATTTGCATTTAAAATTTCTTTTAGTTCTGATACAGCAGTTTTCATACTCTGTGAACTAATTTCCTTATAAAGTTTATGTAATTTATTGTTTGTAAGATTATAACTGTGATTCGTAAGAGGTGGAGGCATATTCATTATAGCAGTAAAAGTAGACATAGCTTCGTTACCACGTCTAATTTCACGAAATGCCATAACAGCTCGTAAATTTATTTTATATGGGTTTGAACCAGGTTTTGAACTTTGATTTATAGATGGAGATGAATAATATGTACTTTCAAAGTCACTGTTTGAACATTGCATAATAATTCTTATAACTAATCCCATACGTACAGATTTATTATGCAAAACAGTTAGCTTGCTATTACACTCACTGCGTGCAGAATACTGTTCAAATATATTTTTAATAACTCTAAAGTTACATATAAAGAAAAAATTGTCGACTTCAGACTCACAATTCGTTGCAGCATTAAAGTTATGTTTAATCTTAGCTTTGATGCACTTGTTGTTTCTGATTTCCTGATACAATCAGTTACATCATTTTCTTTTCTTAAATATCTATTTCCTTGATATTTTCTCTTTAAATTTCTAACTTTATTTCTTTTGTTTGCCATATTTAGATTTAGATAGTTTTCAGTTAAATTCAGACAGACAGTTTCAGTTAAAATACATTAGAATAATGAAACAGAGCATATTTTTAAAAAATGATATACTTTGTAGAACAGTAGAAAAGCATAATATATCAACCACAGAGAAATACTTCAAAATTTCTGGTGAAAATCTTTAAGAAGTAGTTAATGAAATAGTTGTTTACACCGTTGCTATAGCGTTGCTAAGGAATAGGAATTATTTTTTAGGAATATATTTTTTTTTTTGTCTTTTTTTCTGTAAATAGTAAATTGATTTTTAAATCAGTTCTTGCTTTAGTTTCTTTTTTCTTTTTTCATTTTTATTGGCTGAATTTTTTATTTATATTAACGGGGCTGGATGATAAGATCATGTCATCTGCCAGCTCCGATCGAAACTATAACCTTATATTTTTATGTTGTAAAAACATTGTAAAAGATTATTTTTTAATGACAAAAATAAGACTTCCGGAATTGCAAGCCCTAACAAGGATGGTTCAATTATATCATAGACTAGTTTTAATATATTGACACTAACCTTATCTGATCCAGCACTTTTGTTATTTTTTAGACATAACAAGGCAGATGGCAACTCAATTATATCTTTCATACATTTTTTTATTGAAAGTTGTTTGATAGGAATCAAATGTTAGTGAAGTTGGAAGGGTATTTCGTGCCAAATCAGAGCTAACATTAACAAAAATGCTATTCCATTTTACAGCTATTAACACTTTATCACAAATTAAATTACCGTCAATTAAAAGTTTTTTTAGCAAAACTTTATTTTTATACTTATTTTGACAAATTATTTTTTTAATTGCATTTCAAACTTTTCAAGAGTTATCTTTAGATTTTTTTATTAACTCCGAATAATAAACTTTTTGAGTATTATTTTATTTTTTCAAAAACACTTGTATAGTTTTTATATTTCATTTTGTTTTTTCCTCGTCGATTTTAGTAACCTTTTGTTATCCATGGAGATAAAAGTGATTATTAATTTATAAAAAACTTGTTTAGAGGAAAGATTTTGTTGTATTGTTTACAAAAATGCGGTAGAAAAAATGAGATTGAAGAACCAGCTACCAATCAACGCAGTTGATTAGAAGATTGTGAAATTATTGTGTGAAGTTTTCATTGATCTGTCGTTTAAATATTATATATTTTGAAAGAGTATTATTTGGTATTATGCTGTTTGTAATAAGAAATGTTTGTAATAAGAAATGTTTGTAATAAGAAATGTTGGAAAATCAAATCAATTTTTATTATACTTGTACTAAAGCAGTTATCAAAAAAATTATTAGTAATTGTGTTATCGAGTAGACTAGAAAAACCTTTTGTGATCTTTGTTGGTTTGGTATGGAATACCAAACCAACAAGGATCACAATTTAGTATTGAATATCATCACCTTTTGTGATCTTTGTTGGAATAAGATTATTTTGTAAAAGTGTATTTACAAAATATTTAACACTATTATTTGACGCATAGTTCAAAAGATTATTATTCAGGTCACCGACAAAGTAAACATGCTTCTGAGTTTATTAACTTTGGTTAAAAAAGTGTGTAAGCAAGTTTTAAATTACCCGCTGGTTCTCTATAAACATGAATGGCAGTTTTGTTTGTAGAATTTTGGTTAATAGTTTCAATGGACAATGCAACCGTTTTCATTATCACCTAGGTCATTAGGTGGTATAAACTAATGGAATTATGGGTAAAAATACACCTCCACTTGTACGGAAGTTTCTCGGTTGGTGAATTGGTAAGTAATTTGTTAATTCAATTTGCAAATTATGTCCGTCATATATACACCAGGTAACCAGGTCAAGACAAATTATTTTGAAATCGTGACTTAATTCATGCGTTAAAGTTTAAAATATATTAATATTTAAAATTTTAAATTGTATTTTTATTTTGTTGAAGATTAAGTTTAGAATCAGAAATTGAATAGTAGTTGCTTTCTAATGATTTTAAATATTTCATCACGCTTTTAGTTACTAAATTATCATCCAACAAAAAGAAAATCAAATAAGGAAAAAATAAATAATATATTGATACTTATATGGTGTTAGGGGAAACAGAATCTCATTTCTTCAAAGCCCAATTGTGATGACTATTTTATCGTAGGATATTACCGCAAATTTTCCAGACTTATGCTCATTTTGCATGCGCTCTCTTAAACCCTTCCTTATTTCTAAAGTTTCAGAACTAAAGTCTTCATTTATAAAGATATGTTCCTTTGTACAATTTTTTGAACGTTTGAACGATTTTTTGAGTATATTTGCTTTTTCCTTATAATTTAATAGTTTCAGGACTATCCCAGCAAGCACATAACGTTATTTAAACGTTTCGAAATGGTTTATATATGGTTAAAAAATAACCTAAATTTAATCTAAAAATAATCTAAATTTTAACGTTATTTCAACGTTAGTTCAAGGTTAAAAAAAAACGTTGAAATTTCAACGTTAATTCAACGTTTATTTTCAACTAAAAACAAACGTTGAATTAACGTTGAAAAATAAACGTTGAAATAACGTTGAAATTACGTTGAAATTTAGATGAGACTTTGCCGACGAATATAGGCCGGTGGCCATATAGCAAAAATGTGACTAAAAATGAGTTTTAGTTGGACACTTGTAATAACTAAGTTTTTGTTTCGATATTGTTAGAGCATGGTACTAAGATACGAAAAACAGAAACTTGCCTCATTTTTGCCCTGCAGTTTTTGAGAAATGATGGCTCGGGTCTTTTACCCCGAAAGGGCAATGTAAAAAGAAAAAATCGTCAAATTTTGTGCAAGTAATATTTTTCTAGTAGTAAATTAAACACTGAATACATTTTTCTTATGAATATTAACCTTACTCGCATTGTTCTCAATATAGACCCGATGCTAATTGTGGTTGGGGGAGGGGGTGGTGGTGACAATTAATGATTTATTGTTCATTCAGTTGGCAAATGTGGACCTTTTAGTTTATTTAGTTTGCAAGTTTGAACTTTTTTGACAGTTTGCAAATTTGGACTAGTAAACTTTATCTTTACGTATTATCTATTCTCGCCGGCCATGTCTCCAGATAAGAAGTTTTGTTTTAGTTGCAGCAAATGAACTATCTTGTACTCATATATTGTGCAAGCGTAACAAAAATTATAACACCTAAAGTTTAAAACAAGAAAAAATACTAGAAATGTCAACTATTTTTTTATTCATCATGATCACTTTCTGACTCTATTTCATTATCATCATCATCATCATCATCATAGAGTCTTTTGTCAAACGAGGTGTTTTCACACGCTTTACCGCATGCGCATAGATAAGTGCATGTGAATCCGTTTTGTTTACAAGAACATCAATTTGTGATGCAACCAAGTTTACAAGAACAACTGACAAATTCAAGAAGTGAATTGGGTGCAGGTGGAATTGTTGTCCAAACCAAGTTTACCTCGTCTCCATTTAAAGACCAACCATAACCATCAGGCAAAGGAACATTTAGCATACTTGTTAATGGGTTTTTTCAGATGTAAGCATCATAATTGGCACGTTTAATGTGTAAAATATGCGAATCATAATTTGGAGGTAGCATCTCTTCTGTAGATTTGCCCATTTTGAATAAGTAATAACGTGCTTTATTGACAATATCTTCTTTACTTGCACTGTAAAGGTGACAAACAAATTTCTGTATGCCACTAACAACCTCATCTGATACATCTAGTGGCATTCCGATCCCTCGGAATGCTGTACAATATTCTTTTTTCTTTTCTGCTGTCTTTAGGGCATATAACTTACCTTTTCCCTGAAAAGTAGACACTGCATCACAACCTAAGTAATATGTAGAAACACTTCAAACATTTACGTTTTCAGATACAAAATTAGTTTATATAAAGAAGACAATTACTTGTAATCGATTTCTTATGGACAAATGAAGGTTTATGATCTTTTACTTCATTGGCAAGATATGCTAGTACCGAAGGTGCTGTCTGCTCATACGATCTTGTAGTAGATTTTGTTTTACTATTGCCGTGTGGAAACGATGATGCAGTTGCTTCATCGCCGACATACTGCACAATGACATACGGATATTTAAACAAGTCGATTGCTACAAAAAAATAACGACAGAAGCTTAACGATGAACCAATTTTAGTGTGTGATTTGTACTTTCGCTTATATATATAAGGTTGCCTCTTAGGAAGCTTATCGTTTCTGTTATTGATCTACCAATAGCCATTAGCTACCCAATCATCTGAAAAATAAAATAAAATGTGTTATATATAAATAAATTTATTTTAAAGTGATTATTTTACAAATAGTGCTACATTTTTGAACATACCTTTTTTGGTATTGTCTTTATACCGATATACAAAAACGTCTCCTCCTTTTGGCTTGTGAGCAGTTCACTCTGATGCATTATTTTCGTCGATGTTTGCTAAACACTCAAGTACTTCGTCAATACTGACGCACAAAGTAAGGCCCCCTGACGTGAACGGAATGCTCTATTTGGTCTCTATAACTCTGAACAAATTTTTTGGCTTTATTGGTTTCAGTACTTCCTTGTTGACGCAATTAAAAATATATTTATAAATGAAGCAAAGAAAATAAAATGATATTGGACGTTTTATGTCTTATAAAGAGGTTTTGCGTTTTATATAAAATCCCACGCCGCCACATAATGGTATAAGTAGTTATTTTGTCGCTTCTTAAGAATGCAATTAAAACTGAACTAACAAGATTCTATCGTTATTTATCTATAGACACTCTGAAGTAAAAAAATATTTTACTAATTATTCAAAAACATTATACTTCTTAAATAATAGCGTAAAGCTTAATTTACAAATGCCTTTGCAAAAACAAAAAGGTTTTAGTGCCTTTTAATCCATAATTGGCGTATCTGGCCGGGCCGGGTTTTAGGCACAACCAAATAAATGGAATATTTCACATAGATTTGTGCGTCAGAAAGTTCTTTTAAAATTTTTAATAAATGTGTTAATGTAATAAAAGTGAAAACATTAACGCCGTTTAAGAGGAGATCTTATTTTTCAATATAAAATACAAAACGGTTTTGAGAAAATAAATTGGATAAACGACTCGACATCTCAAGTTCAATTAAAACTTTACAATTTTCGTAGTCATAACCAAAAGTTAACAAAGGCATATTGTAATAGCAATTATAGATATAATTTCTTTTCCTGTAGAGTCGTAAATGCTTGGAGTGGTTTACCACCATATATTATCGAATCAATGACAATTGACCAATTCAAAAATAAACTTGATAAATCAGATTACTGCAAAAATTATTTATTAAATACAAAATAATATCTATATACATTGAAAAGTAAACAATGCTATTATAAAACATTTATAGCTGTTATAGCACAACATCTTCTGTTGTTGTGCTCCACAATTGATTTCATCAGTTGTCACAGTGTACATTATTATTATTATTATTATTATTATTATTATTATTATTATTATTATTATTATTATTATTATTATTATTATTAAAAGATTTTTTTGCTATGAAAATAAGTATAATTTTACAAAAACTTATAAGGATTGCCATTACATACTAAAATGGTGGATTTAGGATCCTAAATCAACCATTTAAAAATGATTTTATTATCCTAAGATGCTAGGATGCTATGCCATCCTAGGATTTTTATTATCCTTAGACTCATCCTAGGATGAGTATTCAAATCATTTACAGATGTATTTATATATATATCAAATATACAATCAAAGTCTTATTATAATTATGGAACTATAGTGTGAACTAGTATGTTTTGGTTTGTATAGTCAAAAGACAATGTTGTTTGTGTGAATGAAATTCCATCAAGTTGAATAAAGAATGATTTTGTCCATTGTCCGAATCGAAATGTGAAATTTCCAGTAAAAAATTAAAACATAACACCACATTTGGTTGGTATAACTTTAAACAAAAATGTGATGAAACTACAAGTATTATAACCTATTATATTCAAATAATTATTACATATATTTATAAGAGCAGTATAAAGACCATTTAATCTTTATCAAATCTTATGTAAAGTATTTATTGTATTCTTTTTGTTAAGGATTGGTGTAATAACATCAGGTAAAAACATATATAAACTAGATTGCAGACGTTGATATAACTCCAAAGTAGGTTGATATTTTTGTTTTATTGTTGTTTTTAAGATTTTGCTGCATTATTAAAATAAAATAAAGATGGCTTGCACAGTAAAACAGAACTTGAATTTAAAGTTTTAGTTAAAAAAAATAAAAAATAGACTAGTTAATGTAGGTTTTGATAGTATAGGAGCTACAGTATACAATAAAGTCATTTTTAAGTATATCTACTTTGTTTTGTCATGTGCATATAATACTCATCCAGAGATAGGAGCCAGGCGATGAAGATCTAAAGAACAATTGTTAATGTCGAGCTGTTCAACTGTAATGAAGTTAAAATTAAAATAAATAAATAAAATACATTCTGGTTATATAATGCATATGTCATTATATAAACATTATGAAAGTAACAAAGAATGTAAATTAAGACTTTTTTATTTAACTTTTATTACTCTGCCATCATAGATAACTGTCTTGGATATGTCAATAGTGTAGCATTCATGACAACTTTCTTTAGCAGATTTTAAAAAGAAAAACTAAAATTTGCTAACATCATGCTCAAATTAGAGCTAAGATTTCTTATAAACAGATTTCAAAACAGCAAAAAATTTATAAAAAAGAAGAAGTAATTCAGGGAAAAAGCTGATTATAAACAGCTTTTTTACTAACTTTCTTTCTTCTTTTTTTAAAATATTTCAATATATTTGTTGAATATCAAATTACATTTATATAGACTAGTCTAGATTGATTTGTCTACTAGCTCTAACCTCTCAGTTGTATTCATGTCTGGTTTTTCAGATCTTAATTAAGATTTTGTTTATCACATTTTTTTGCTATGATTTCATTATTTTTGTTAATTTGTGATTTGAGTATTTTACTAATTAAATTTTTTTTTTTTAATTAAATTTATTTTGATTTTGCAGGTTAATGGCAAATAAATTTGGTTAATGGCAAACAAAGTTTAACTTGACCTAATCTAAAACAAAACAAACAATAGAGAATGGATTTTAAATACTTACAAGGTGTTATTGGTATGTATATTATATTTTTTTGTGCTGCCCCCACCGATATATATATATATATATATATATATATATATATATATATATATATATATATATATATATACATATATATATATTTATATATATATATATATATATATATATATATATATATATATATATATATATTTATATATATATATATATATATATATATATATATATATATATATATATTTTTTTTTTTTTTTAACATCTTCACTTCCAACAAGGCTGCAAGCAACCACTATAAGAGTTGGAAGTTACTGGAAGAGAAAAGACTAAATCTGTAGAGCAGGATAACGATTGACTGATGACTTAAAAGATTGCAAATTATATGAATCAGGGAAGCAAGATGAAGGAAGCGAATTCCAAAGAACTGATGTTTGAGGAAAAAAACTAGAAGAATAAGAGTTTTTGAAGCACTTAGGAACAGTCACAGAAAAAGGATGAGACTTAATTGAATGGCGAGTAACACGAGAATGAATTTTAGTAGATGACACAAGGGACGCTAGCTCTTTAGAGCAGTGCCCATTATAGTATTTGTAGAAAAGAGAAAGAGAAGGAACATCACGATGATGTGACAAAGGTTGGAGATTGGCTGCCAGAGCAGGTCCAACTATGTTTACAATGCGTTTTTGCACCTTGTCTAAAAGAGAAAGAGCATCATTAGAAGATCCGCCCCAGATGTGGCAACAGTATTCCATACAGGGACGGATTTGAGATTTATAGTGATAGAGAATAGAATCTGGAGTAAGAAAGTGTCGAGCTCAATAAAGAGATGCAACCTTAGCAGATGCTAATTTTGCAATGGATTTGATATACGGTTTAAAAAAAAGATCAGAAGTAAGAGTTAATCCTAGAAGATGAATAGTAGATGACTCATCTAGTACATTACCATTCATAAATATAGGAAGATCTAAATTATTACGATAACGATTGGCCGAATAAAATTGAGTTTTATCTGAATTAAAGTTCACCAGCCACTGTGAGCCTCATGCTGTAGCAGAAGTGAGATCCTTTTCAAGCTCAGATACCCCCTCCAGGCAATCAGAGAGTGTAGGCTTCTTATCATGACAAGAGTAAATGGTAGTGTCGTCAGTGAATAATGCCACCTTAGATGTGAGAATATCTGGAAGATCGTTAATGTAAATTAAAAAGAGTATAGGGCCAAGGATTGAACCTTGAGGAACCCCTGAAGTTACAGGATGTAAAGAAGAGTGTTGTCCATCAAGGACAACTTTTATACTACGATTGGAAAGAAAGGACTCAATAATCTTAAAGATGTTACTAGATACACCATAAGAAAAAAGCTTATGGAGAAGACCAGCATGCCAAACTTTATCAAAAGCTTTAGAAATGTCAAGTGCGATAGCCTTAACCTCTCCACCTCTATCTAATGCACGGTAAAACCTTCTTATCATGACAAGAGTAAATGGTAGTGTCGTCAGTGAATAATGCCACCTTAGATGTGAGAATATCTGGAAGATCGTTAATGTAAATTAAAAAGAGTATAGGGCCAAGGATAGAACCTTGAGGAACCCCTGAAGTTACAGGATGTAAAGAAGAGTGTTGTCCATCAAGGACAACTTTTATACTACGATTGGAAAGAAAGGACTCAATAATCTTAAAGATGTTACTAGATACACCATAAGAAAAAAGCTTATGGAGAAGACCAGCATGCCAAACTTTATCAAAAGCTTTAGAAATGTCAAGTGCGATAGCCTTAACCTCTCCACCTCTATCTAATGCACGGTAAAACCTATCGGTTATTACTGTTAGCAAATCAGCTGTAGAACAAGAAGATCGAAATCCATATTGATAATCAGAAAGTAAGTTATTTGATTCAAGATGAGAGAGTAAGTGTTTGTTGATTAAAGATTCAAAAACCTTGCTTATGACAGGAAGAAGACTAATGGGATGGTAGTTAGATGAATCAGATCGCTCTCCGGAATTTTTGAAAATAGGGATAACAGATGCTGCTTTCCAGCATGATGGAAAACAAGACTCTGATAAGCACTTGTTAAATAGTTTTGAAAGTATGGATGAAAGCTCCGGAGAACACTTCTGCAAGACTACAACAGGAATGTTGACAGGACCACAAGCTGTTGAAGAGTCTAAGCAGGAAATTACTTTTGATACAGAAGCTGAAGTGATGCAAATGTCAAGCAAGGGATCAACCTGTTTGACGGCTATGTCAGGTAGAACGCAACTAGTGGAATCAAGAGATGATATTGATGAAAAGTTCTTAGCAAACAATTCAACTTTGTCTTTAGGTGAGGTGACAAAGTCTAAACCATACAAGAGAGAAGGAATAACAGATTTGCCCTTATTATTGATACTGTTAAAGATTCTCCAGAAGTCTCGAGAGCCTAATTTTTGTGATGAGATACGAGATTTTATGACCTGAGAATAACGAGCTTTGGCGTCAGACAAAACCTTTTTACAATGGTTTCTGGCGATAGTGAACAGATGTCTGTTTTTTGGAGAATTGTTTTGCTGATTGATATGGAGGTAACGGTTTCGATTAGAAATTGCTGCAGCGCAATGTGAAGAAAACCAAGGAGAAGAGTGAGGCTTGACCTGGAATCGTCGAGAGGGAATAAAAGATTCCATGCCAGCCTGAATCCACGAAGTTATGTAAGAAGCACATTTGTCAGCAGGAAGACAAAAGATTTCTACCCAAGGGCCATCACGAAGAAAATCACGGAAAGAGTCCCAGTCAGCTTTAAGGTAGTTGTATGTGGTACGATGATAGGGGGATTCTGATGAAGTAGAAGAATTTGATAATAGTTTTAGAGAGATCAAACCGTGATCAGAAGCGCCTAAGGGTGAATGTGGAGAAATTGAGCACTGACTAGGATCCAAAACAAGACATAAGTCGAGTAGAAAAGGTAAATGATTAGGGTTGTCTGGAAAATGAGTTGGAAAGTTGACTATTTGAGTTAGAGATTGAGAAAGGCAAAAGTTGAGGGCCTTAACTCCAGCAGAGTCACTGATACTATAGCCAAGCCAATCGGTGTGATGGGCATTAAAGTCACCAACAACGACGATATTGGCCGATGGATAAAGAGAGAGGGCTTGGTCAATTTGATCAGAAATAACATCGAGAATAGTGCAATCTTGGGATGAAGGAGAGCGATATAGAACAAAGAGAAAGGCGATAGAGTGAAGTGGTGCTAAACGAAAGCACATAAAAGAATAGTCTGTAGATTCAAACCTAGTTTCTCGACAAATGGGTGAGTTCTTACTTGGTGATGACGATGGTTTTTTGTGTTTTTTAGTTTTAGGTACTTTAGTCATTTTAAATTTATAAAGAACTTGACTCAAGTATAGATAGTACTCAGTACACTATTTAACAACGAAGCAATAGCCTCATTACTATTAGTAAACCCAAAGCCATAACAAAGGGCTTCAAATGTGGCCTCTACAATGCACACCAAAAGTGCGAACAGGGACACCATCCATGCGCAACATGGCACTGTTAGTACTCTGATATTTTTTGTCTGTTGATAGAATCAGCCTCTCTGAGAGCTACCACAGAGTTCGTGAAACCTGACTACCAGCCGGCCTCAGAACCATAAAACTGAGTTTTAGAGCTGTACCCTCATTAGGAGATAATAGAATGAGTTGCCCAGTCATAAAAATAGAGACACAAGCAATACCCACGCATTGAGTCAAGAAGATCCAGCGTTCAACATCCTAAACTGGAAACAATGTATTAAAAATACATCTGCGCCAGCCTAATAGATGAAGAAGGGGTGCGAGACTGGTCAACAGATAAAATCTGTTTACCCCTTAATTCTTTGCCTAGGAGGCCTTCTACAAGACAGTAGCCGGATGCATTTAACATCTGCCCAAGATGAGTATTTTTATTGAGACACCATCTCTAGCCTTTACTCAACCAAGAGCCCCAAGGCAGGGGGTGTTTTAATTCGGAGTTAACTTCTCCTAGCCTTTGCCTAAAAAAGCGTATCCTATAAGGCAGCAGGACATGAAGCAGGTTGTACTGGGTTACATGTTGCCAGTAGCAGGAAAACCTGACCTAATCTTTGATATATATATATATATATATATATATATATATATATATATATATATATATATATATATATATACATATATAATGTAATAATGTATATATATGTGTATATATATAAGTACATATATGTGTATAATTATATACATATATATATAAATACAGTTAATTACAGATTTCTTGACCCTCCAGGGGACCAGGGAAAACAGTTCTACTAAAGGAATAGGTGACTTAAGCAATGTATAACTGCCTAAAATGTTTGTGTTATGTGTGCGTATTTGCATTGATGTATGATGTTGATGTATAATGTATCTTTATCCAAATAGGTTGATATCTTGGTCAATAATGAAGTAAATTAGGCGCGGATCAGAAATGGGTTGTTTTTTTTTTCCTACTATTGATCACTTATTGTTCACATTTGCTTGTGAACAATGTGAAGTATAATAATACTTGTAAAATGTACAAATGTACCTTACTTTAAAGATATTTTTATTTAGATGCAGTTACCTGATGTTCTTAAATAAAAGACACAATGCACATAGATAGAATTTAGACTGTTTGAAGGTTGCACCTTATTGATTGGATCATGGAAAATGTGCATCAAATCAAAATGAGTCTGATAACAGAAGACGATAAAAATACATATGAATTTGATATTGGTGATGAAGATAACAATATCATGATTTTATCAAGATCGTTTTGAAAATAACTTGAATTTTGTTCTAAAATGTATAAATTATTTTTTTGGTTTTATTTGCTTTTAATAATTGCTTTTCAATTTCTATAATTTAGTTACCTGCGTTAAAAAAATGGTACAGGGCAGATTATTTGTAATACTATAACAACAGTTAGTTTTATAATATAAAATAAACTAATAATATTAAGTAATAGCTGTAAAAATTGAGAACAAGATGTGCAGTACAATAGCGTAAGATATTGTACTATGACAGCTATTATAAGTTTATGAAGAATACTGTTTCTTTTCTTACTCATAACAACACAATATTGTACAAATAATAAATGTTTTTCGGATTAAAAGAGTCACGGCGCAAAAAGCTGTATTTTTGAGGTATATAAACTCATATAAGCTAGTTAAACCAATGCTAGATAAATGTTAATCTAACGTTGATTTTGGGTTTGTTTTCAACGTTGATCTAACTTTTTTTTTACAACGTTGATTTGTGTTTCCATTTCAACCAAAAATCAACTATTTTTCAACCATAATTTTCAATGGTTTTTTAGCGTTGTTTCAACGTTGATTGTGCTTGCTGGGTTATGAATTAGCCTGAAATATTCACGGGTGAACCTTGAACAGCCTTAGGATAAGCAATAATCCAGGCCTCGAAAACATTATTACAAGTGTTTTACAAGTATATGATCGTAATAAATGTCTTTTAATAATTTTCAACTAAAAACTAGTTTTTTTCCTGATCAATAGAAAATAGCAAGAATAGTCTCTATATATAAAAGTTATGACAATTTTTTATCATCCAATTATAATGCCTATATCTATATTATCTGCTTTTATATCTATATTAGCAGCCGTGGCGCAGTGGTTAGAGTTCTGGCTCTTAACCCAGAGGTCCCAGGTTCGACGCCAGCTCAAGCCCAACAAGCGACATTGGTACGGAAGGAGGCGTGAACTTCCCGTTAAATGCTCTCCCGCGGTGCTCTATGATAAGACCGCAAGGACTTCTGGGAGCACCTATATACAAAATATTATCTGCTTTTCAAAACTTGTACGTATCATGTATAATAAAATACATAACTATCTCAAATCAATAAAACTTTTTTATAATATTTTTTATAATAAATAGTTTAGCTTTTGCAAGAGCCCCTCAACATATCATGCAATAATTAATTTAGTTAATATAATTTGTTTTGAAAATAACCATTATACTTAAATCTTGTTTATCGATTTAACAAAAGCATTTAATACAGTTGACACAAGATGATCCGGTACAAGGTAATTATTATTTATTTGTTTTTTTCTTCTCCAGGTATACTATATGAAATATACATTTAGTGATAAAAAGAAAATATATATACAAAATTATTACGTATCAGATTGATAAAAATACATTAGTTTAATATTAATACATTAATATAGTATTGATGCAAACTTTAATATAAATTCCGGTATTATAACTATTATATATATATATATATTTTTTTTCTTCTATACTTTAAAACATAAAAAAAAAAAGGAAATCAAAGAAGATCCAGCATTTTTGGGTATAAAACTCAGAAAAAAATCTTTTCCCTTAATAGCGCGATTTGGCGTATATCTATGTCTATATAAAAAGTTAATTAAGTAAACTTAGAAGTAATTTTTTTGTAATTAGCTTTGTAATTACTATTTCTAATGTTATATATATATATATATATATATATATATATATATATATATATATATATATATATATATATATATATATATATATACATATATATATATATATATATATATATATATATATATATATATATATATATATATATATATATATATATATACATATATATAAATATATGTATATATATATATATATATATATATATATATATATAAATATATATATATATATATATATATATATATATATATATATATATATATATATATATATATATATATTTAATTTATTACAATCATTTTTACAAATTAAGAATATGCTGCTTTGCTTTCTGTTTAAACGACGATATTCCATTTAATTCTTTTAATTTTTGATTTTTCTATATTTAGCTATTAAGGGAAAAAATCTTTTCCCTTAATAGCGCGATTTGGCGTATATCTATGTCTATATAAAAAGTTAATTAAGTAAACTTAGAAGTAATTTTTTTGTAATTAGCTTTGTAATTACTATTTCTAATGTTATATATATATATATATATATATATATATATATACATACATATATATAAATATATGTATATATATATATATATATATATATATATATATATATATATATATATATATATATAATATATATATATATATATATATATATATATATATATATATATATATATATATATATATATATATATATATATTTAATTTATTACAATCATTTTTACAAATTAAGAATATGCTGCTTTGCTTTCTGTTTAAACGACGATATTCCATTTAATTCTTTTAATTTTTGATTTTTCTATATTTTGAAAATTCAGAACCCCGGGTTTTTTTTTTTTTTTTTAATTTTTTATTTATTAATGTATTAACGTATATAATGTATAAAATAATGTATACAAATTTTTTATATGTGTATTAAATTTTTTTATATATGTCATAACGTATGAAGTAAAAAACAAGAATCCAAAATGTTTCTTAAGTAAAAAGAAACAAAAAGTATTGTTTGACTCGACATGTACACGGTTACAAAAAATTAGTTGTGGCGTACGCTTTAGGCTTTATTCAGGGACCTTTTTCATTATTTTTACTCTATGTAGGTGGTACTAGTAATATTGATATAATCTTGATATAAATATAATATTGATATAAATAGAGTCAATCCAAAAAAATCTTCGAAATAATTTTTGAGGAAAATCTTAATTAGAAAAATCGCATTTTGAAAATTAAAAACAAAATCTTTAAATCAATCGGCATAATGCATAAGATGAAACACCTTCTAAATAAAACTTGTTTAAAAATATATATTTGTTCATTCACAGTTTATCTAGGCAAAATAAAATTGTTATAAAAATTATAATAAAACTCCGTTAAAATATTATCGTTTAAAACATCCGTTAAAAACATCTCCGTTTATATATGAATAAAAAAAGGTAACAAATCTAATAAATTCTTTTTAATATCGGGGAGACTGGGGCTAGATGCAACAAAATTTAAAAACTGTATTTATCTCCTATATCTTTCATTTTTTTTTCTATTGTTTTATCAGGGTTATAAAATAGATTTTAGTGACGTACTAAACCAACATTGATAAATATAGTTGTTCGGTAATAGTGATACAAAAATGAAAAAAAAAAAAAATGTTGCAACTTACCCCGCACCGGGGCAAGTTGCAACAGTGAACGGGGTAAGTTGCAACACAATTCTTTCAAAGTATAAGCCTTGCAGAGTTCAAAGAAATATTACAAATTAACCTCTAGTGTCTATTTGGTAACAAAAATGTTATAATTACATTAAAGGAATGTAGTATTTTCATTGAGCTGCAATTCTTTTAATAATTCAATTATTATGAGAGAATTCACATACACCTGACTTGTTTAGTAAACTAGTAATTGTATTTAAAGATATCAGGAACTGAAGAAATTACACAAGAAAAATTATTATTTTAACTGCTGATTATAATTAACTAAGTAATTATTTTAACTTCAAAGTGGAAAAAAAAGTATTCTCTTAGTCATTAAACAATAAATTTGTCTAGAAAAATGCAAGAGAAGGTTTTAGGATATTTAAGTTCTGCTTTTAGAATATAAAAGCACAATAACAATTTATATTAAAAAAGTTAAAATTTTAAAAATTAAAACAAATGTTAAATAAAATTTTATAAAAACAAACAAAAATCAAACTTAGATCTCAGTTATCTATAACAACAAAAAAAGAATTTCCTTGCAATAAACATTTATTAAAAAACAAACAAGTATTAAAGAAACAAATGAATTAACTACATTTCAATTCAAACATTAGATTTATTACTTAATTAGATATTTTATTATAGATATATTAAGGTTATTCATTCTTATATGTGCGTCTATTCATTCTTATATGCGCGTCTATTCATTTTTATATGCGTGTTTATTCATTCTTATATGCACATATATTCGTTCTTATATGTGCATTTATTCATTCTTATATGCGCGTTTATATGCGAGTCAACCACCCATAAAATCTATAATATAATTTTATATAAACAAAAAATAGGCATTAATTTTTTAATGTTTTGAGATAGATATACTTAAAATATAAATTAGGTTGTTGCCACTGCAATTTATTTAAAAAATGGTTGCCAGCGCTAAATTTATTTAATAATTATAAATAATTAAATTTAAATCTAGATAAATGAGTATTTAGATAAATAATAATTTTATCTAAATACTCATTTAGATAAATTTAATAATAAAATTAAACAAAGAGCTAATACTAAATTAAATAAACCATCATCGAAAGTAAAAGTCTTCGTTTATTCATTTTTATATGCGCGTCTATTCATTTTTATATGCGTGTTTATTCATTCTTATATGCGCGTTTATTCATTCTTATATGCGTGTTATTCTTATATGCGGGTCAACCACCCATAAAATCTCTAATATAAATTAATATAAACAATAAATGCACTTTTAAATTATTATATAGATATACTTAAAATACAAATTAGGTTGTTTTCATTGTTATTTATTTAAGAAATAGTTGCCGAGCCAGCGCTGGATTTATGTAACTAAGCATAGGGTTGTAAAATGGAATTAAATTAAACTCTGTAGCATCCATAATATTTTTAAGTTTCCTGATTACCCCATACATATTTCTAGGCCTTTCTCCCTGTTTGTAAGTAAATTTTAAAGAAGAAAAAAATTCTTCTTTTGGATTAACAAAACTGTCGCGTTTCACAATTTCGTTTCGCGGGCCCTATCTTTATAATAAACTGATATCCAAAAATGCCATTATTACAAAATTAGATAACATAAATTGTTTGAAAATCTTACTAAAAAAGTTTGTTTTAAATATCAGCAATTATTTAAACTTTCACTAAACTAAAACTGAAAGTAAAACAAAAATTATAATTGAAAACAAAATCCAAAGAACTTTAATAATATATATTAACATAAAAAATCAATATAAGTCAATAATAATTATATTTATGCTTAATAATATATTTATGTGTATTATGTGTACTACAAACAGTATTTACCAATTTTTTATTTCTACATTTTATTATATGTGAACCTAATATAAAATGAAGTATTTTGTGAAACTTGATACATTGTAAAACGATAATACAAAAAATATTACAAGTACAAGCGGTTTCTTGATGACAAGACCATCTGGTCTTCTGCAAGTTTCCCGCGTTCTTTTAATATTAATGATACCCTACAATCATATTTTTTGTATTCTATAAAATTGTGATATATTTTTAGTAATATATTTTAAAAACATTATAACTTTGTACCAATCATGTAGAATCACAACATTATAAAGATAAAAGAACAAAAAAAACTCAGAAAAAAAAAAAAAAAAAAAAAAATTAAGCTGTGGAGTGTTATGCTATGCTGGCAGATACTTAATAGCTATACCATGAGTGGCTAGTGTTTGCCTAACAGAAAGACTCCAGTGGAATTTACAATTGTCCATAACAAGCACCGGCGCTTTCACATTTGCATTCCTAATTGCTGGTGCCATCATTGTAGTTATGAAAGTACAAAATGAATCTGCATTCCAGCCCCCAGTTTTTGTTTCATAAGCAAGCACTCCCATAGTTAAAACAGCACAAATTAAACTAACATTCTTACCACGATTTGCAGGTGACTGTAAAATTGCTGGCGTACCTCTTAGCAAACAACCATTTGTGCTGTTAGTGTGCACATTAAATCCAGTTTCATCCAATTAAATAAGTTTTTCATCTAAAATTCCGTTTTTTTTGCTTACAAATGTATAGCGTGCATTAATAACTCGTGTTGAGTTTCGTTCTTCTGGCACATGCACAACACGTTTTCTTAATAAATTGAAATAGTAGGCTGAGACATGGTGAAGCCTGCTGCAGAAAGATTTTTTTTTATTGCTTCTTGCGTGCAAAGATTGTTTTCTTGAACGCATAATTCGATAATTGTTTTTTTTGACAGTTTATAGGTCTTTTACCTCGTTTTTTTTATCAGAAAACGACTTGAATGCAGTCGACTGCATTCAAATAGGTAAAAGACCTATAAACTGTCAAAAAAAAAAATTATCGATATAAAAATATTATCTCCGCACCCCCCCTCCATAGCGACGCCATTGTCCAATGG